TATCTTTAACAAGTACGTAAATTGAAAAGGTGCCCTGCCTGACTACGAATAAAAGTCACTTCTGTCCTAACATGAAGTTACTGTTTCGATAATAGATAGCGAAAGTTGAAAATATTTGTGCAAAAAATTTCAGTTCCATCTTATGACCATTTAGAGCGCTGTACATTATGGCATACAAGTTTACAAAAATTATAGTATGTAACCTCACGATAGAGGTACGTCTAATTATTTTTTACTTACGAAATTGATTTTTTTTCGTGTTTTATTTACTGAAGAGAGTTGTTATATCGTTCGTAATTTTTTCAGACTACGCAGCGGAAATTTTTAGCGTAAGTCTATCGGAAGTGTTTCGTTAAACGATTTGTAAAGCTAATTATTAAGGGACTTTTTCTAAAAAAGAAGGTTGTCTTGTAATCTTTAATCTCTTTTTCAAAAATTTTTTTTAAGGTATTAGGAATTGTAAGATATCCAACATCGCTGAAATTTTCTTTTTTTCTTCAATAAATCGAGTTTGTTGCGGAAGTCCTGAAAATATAATAGTGTTAATAACTTAGAACCAATTGTTATTTGAAAATAGATGTGAAAACAAAAACTTATGATCATTCAAGATTCGGAAGCGATTTGATCATAGCTTTACTTATGTTTTTTCAAGTACGCCTTCATAACAACATAAACGCTTGAAGATCTTTGAATAATATTTTCACTACATACAAAGATATCACAAGGAACTAATGATTTATCGTACCACAAATCCTATTTTTACCTACATTAACAAATTTGCTAACAAATCCGGGTTGGCGATCAGAACTAATTAATACCATTAATTAATTTGTGGTAAAGCCGTTAGTTCTTCTGTAGCAGCTTCTTTCCTTCTTTTTTTATTCTATACCAGCGAGAAAATTAGAATTGTAGTCTAAAATGTTTGTAAAGATCAAAATACAGGCAGACGCAATATTACATGTGTAAACACATAAAAAGTGTGCAGAATTAGGTAGGTATGCCATTTACAAGCTACAAGGCATGTGTATTTTGGCCATAAAAGGACGTCATTTGTATCCAAACTCCAAATTTATGATCTCCGTGTTCCAAATTTATGTCAAAATTATCCGTAAGTTTCGTAAATGTAGACGGTGAGGCGGCCCAATTTGGCGCAGGCGTGTGGTACGGGTAAATAAGCGCGCACACAAATTGTTATCTTGTGAAACGAGACGTGTGATTCGCGCAACGACGCGTGATCGCCGCAACCGTCGGGGAGCGCTCTTCAGATCAGCTAGTGACGTTCGCAGACGATAAAATTGTCGACCAAAAGACGTGCTTTCTTCTATATATACCTAAAATGTAGGAAATGTAAACAACACAGGTATTGTTAATGTAACCGGGAACGAACAAATTTTTGAGATGCAGTGTGCTTTACTTAAAGAGACTGGGATCATACAAACGTATACAATTACTCTTGTTGATACAAAGATCGAACAACACAAAGAATTAGTCTATTGCCATTCCGGGTTCAATAATATTTTTTTTTACCTTAGTTGCTTTACTTTGAAACAGATTTTTTGTGGAGTAAAAAAGCACATAAATAATTGCATTATGCGTTAAATATTTGTTGTTATGTATTATATAAAAAATATTTATAAAACTCTATGTAGTATCATGCGTCGTATTTTAGATCTGCAGCTCAATATCGACGAATGGCGACATCACTAAAATTTATGAAATGTAATTTTCCGACGCGAACGACTCGGGAACATTTGTAGCTTTTCCGAGATTCGGGAAATTGCGATCTCTGGCCCGAGCGCAAAATATGAGATCTACCCGCATTCGTTGAAATTACACCGCGCTTTTTATAATATACAGCGTACCCCGCTTGTGCATTTAATTTTGTTCGTAACTTTCCTACCTAACCTTAAACGTTGTGGTAACAGAGCAGTTTTTAAAAGCAGATTTTAATAAATGTGTATGTTTTCAATTACGTATGTATATTGAAATCGGTTTTCGTTTCAACTGTAGGGACGAAATGTCGAGCTAATCATTACAATAAGTAATTACCTTCATGAAACTTTATTTTTATGATATTGTTAGTATATTTCCATATCAATCGATTGACACCTATTGGTATCGTTTTTTATTCATATTAGAATCAAATCAGAAGAATAATTCCAAGAATGGAGCCATGGTTCTAACTTTTACATATCTTTTTTTAAAAGATATGCTATTCGCCTAAACCAACTCGACACGCTCGCTTTATGCCTAAAGCTCTAAAATTAACCTCATCAGTAAGTGTCATAGACGAAACCGCCAATAAGTCCCGTCCAGCGACCATCTGTAGCAATAACTAGTGTCCACGCAATGCATCCTTGGCTGCGCGTTCATCGATGACTGATGGCCGGCATGTGCCGCCGACGGCTCGCAACTCATCGTGTTCCTAGGGTTGCAACTTTACAACAATCCCTTTATTACGCAACTTGTACCTATTATTGTATTTATCTATATACAGCCAAAAGATGTTACTTTGCCAGACCTGTGATAGGTTTGCTTTGGAACTAAGATAACCAATGATGTGATAAAATTCATGGTATACATTATTTTACTCCTGGTTAATGTTAGTCTAAGCCCGTTTAAAATTCTAAATGCATGATTTTACTATTTTTTAAATTAATTTACGGTTGTTACATGAATGCTAATATTATTTGTGTATAGTAACATTATCATCTTGAATATGCGCTATTCATGTTCGTAGTAGCAGCCCTAGCTTAAGACGAGGGTTGCCTAAGATAATTATCTTTTTTACGGAGTGCACCCAGTTTTAATAACGTGATAAATGCTGCGGAAGGCTTGTCGCTGACGCGTAAGAAGGGTTTCCGAACTTCACATTTGATTAATACCTTGCTTGTTACTTCAATTTTATTGTGCAACAGATGCTTTTTATATTTTCCCGTGTAATTTTCTAAGCATTTTTCTTTGAGATGATAAAGTGGGATCGTGTTTTAATTTTACGCCGAATTAGGCACCTTGTTTCTTTGATTTATTCTATGATCAGTTAGGTAATTTATTTTTCTTCTGTATCTGTATGCGTTCAAAATCAATTTCTATTATAATCAACTATGATTGACGATATAAACGCAAGAGTGAATTATTCATTTATTTGTTCATTGTTAAATAAGGATACCTAAATGCAAAACTTGATGAATTTCATTAGTGTGGAGAATGTTAAGATAGTTAATCGATAAGGGGTTACTGTGCTAGTTTTATAATGAGAGAACGCGAAGGAAATCGATAATATAAACCACCTTGGTAGTTATAGATTACTGATATTTACTGAAGCAATAGATCAAGTATAAACACCCTAATTTGAGGCATGGTAAACACGGAACCCTCATACCAGAAAGGTACACATCTTCATGATATACGGTTGTTATTGAGTATTATGACTCAATCGAATGTATGCAGAGGGAACTTGAATTGTCTGGTGGTAAATTGTAGGTTAGGGGCTCCAATTATGGGTGTTGTTACATCCTTATTTCCCCGTTGTTTTACTTGGTTTTTCAACGATATTCATAAGGGTGGTAAATTGCGGGGTTTTTACGGTATATTCGATTTACAAGTGGCTGGATATGTTTTTAGATCTTATCCCTTGATTTAAATTATATTACTTTTATAAATATTGAAACTAGATGAAAATAAATTTGTAGAAATTTATTATAAATAAACATAATAAATTTATATAAGCAAACACGCCCCGTACTAGAAAAACCCTGTAGGCATCGCGGGTGCCATGGACACACACATAGCCAATCACAAATCACAACTAAACTCATGAGAGGAATAAATGTAAGCCATAAAATATTTCTTCCGGCCCGGAATCGAACCCGGAATCTCTGCGTGGTTGACCAGCATGGCAACAGTTTGGCCACAGAGGCAGGTAAAAGAGAAATAAATGTTTCGAAGTATACATATAATTATATATATTGCCAAAAGTATTCTTGATCATAGACCCTGCTAAGTACCTACGTAATTAACAAAGAAAAGTAATTTAACTTTGTCGATTTACCGCAAAAAGATAATTGCATCAAGACACTTCCAAATATAAAATAAACTTGCACCAGTACTAAGAACTCTAAACAGACAAAAATTAAATCCAGCATGAAATAACTCTTAATTTATCACTTCGCATTAAAAATTGGATCAACCCTGTCAGACGCGTTGGAAAATTAAATTGTCATGGGGTGGGTGGGGTCACTGATAAATAATACAGGCCATGTCTTGTTTGACATGGAATTATTAGCGCCATCTGTCGTAAATTCCACGCCTTAAATGACCATTGCGCACTTGAAGTAGTTTATTTGAATACCGCTAGATGTCGCGTTTTTATTAGATAACCGGGTTTTAGGAAAAAATGTACCAGTTCTGTACGGTAAATTCCTTAGCAAATAACTTCAATTATTGTAATTGTGATATTGAAGACTAATTAAAATGCCTCTTCATGTCCTTTTTGGTCACTATGAATATGAATGCACGAATAAGTATTACCCTCCAGAAGAGCAGCTAAGGTGGCTTAAAAACCTGACGCCTTAAGAAGTACAGGTAAAAGTGTATAGGTGGCGCTGTAATTGTTCCGTGTTTTATCGAGGAAGTAAGGCATTTTTCGTACTTTTCCAATGAAATATTTATTTATTTCTTTACTTTCAGAATTTGCAACTTTGCGTTACTGAATAATAATTAATAATTATAATTGAAAGATAACTGCAGATCAAAGTGGAATAAATGTGAATAAAAGCCAAACTCCGCGGCTCCGATCATAAAAATTGTACGTTTGTAAATTTAATAAAAAGTATTGATTAGAGACAAGGTTTTCTAATAATTATTTCAATACTATTTTTAATCCTTGCTAGTAATTATTTTAATAATAGTTTTATGTTCTCGTGTAACTGATTTCGAGAAACTAGATAATCCATACAATATTGAAATTCAAAAAACTAAGTTTATCCCATTTCTTTCAGGTGCTAGGCAAGAATGGCATCCGAGGCTGGCTGGACGGCAGTGCGGAGAAGATGAACTGGCTAAAGCTCGTCCGATCTACCAACTACACGCATGACGTCAATGTGCAGCATCTATTACTAGCTGGCCAAGTATGATCGTATATTTTCACATCTGTACCTTGTTATTTCAATTTCGAGGGATTGTTCTTAAAAGTAATTCGGGATAGGCTTATTGGCTCTACCTATGTATATCATACATTGCGCTAATTTGTATTTAAGTTTAACATTTTGTCTTGTTTATTTAAGTAATTACAATGGTTACAAGAGTGTATCTAGATACTACGTCATTACAAGAGTGTACCTAACTATTAATAATAATTACGCGTGACTCTATTTTCAAAGTCAATTTTGATTATTTATTTGTAAACATAACAGAATTTACATATGACATAATTGTACAGTGTCACAAAAACCAATTTATTATTGCTATGCTAAAAAAATGCAATGTACACGTAAATTGGTGTGCATATACATGGTGTTTTTTTTAGAACAATGACTCAGAAAACAAATCAGATTATTAAAAGCACAATTAACCTAACGAACATTGCACTATCTACATTCAACCCTCATTATTACGCGTCTTTGTGCAACCCCAATAAAGTTCGAATGTGGAACGTTGGCAACTTCCGGTGACAGAAAATCGGTGTCGACTGAACAACTGTGGCTGCTTCCGGTCAATCGGAGGGGAGAGAACAGATGCAATGATTAGATCCACTCGTGTGCCTTTTGGGAGGTTAAATGCTGTTATGATTTAACTAGTTTATATACTCGTAGTATATTGAATTGGTATTATTACAATGTCGATTTTAAAAGAATCTTCTACTTTTGGGAGGATTATAAATTTCATGTCATTTAACGTCAGTCGAGTTATTAAAAATTAAAGTAAACCCAAGAGTATAAATAGTAGGTATAGATTTGCAATAGCGCCAAATCTAACCTAACTAAGGTACGCCGACGAAGATTTTGGTTTTACACATAATCGATACTAAGAGCGTAAAAGTCCATACAAAGTTTACAAGAATAGTGGAAAACAATATTTATAAACCGCTTATTTATGTAATTGTTTTTAATATTTTTATTTTATATGTTTACGTAAAATACTGTCAGATTAAAAGAGCATGAAAATGTTACCAAACTACATTAATAAGTTACGTTGTGAAAATTGGCATTTTTCATTTTTTTTCCTCAAAGTATTGATGTTATTTTGTGATATCAAGTGATCGAACGAGCCATTCGTGCGCCTGGTGGTTAGCGATACGCCTGTCCATAACAGTTGCATGCCATTCACAGCTTTAAATCGCAAAGATCTGAGACATAAGTTGAAAAGTACCATATGCCTGTAATTTTATCAGCACCTTTACTCTTCAAAACTGGAACGCTGTAATGCTCACATCACTGCTTGGCGGCAGAAATAGGTAAGGTGACATTACTTCCCTGGACGAAACATTTTCACAAGGAGCTATATGAATGATGTAAGAAACTGTTTCCTTTTTGATGATGTGCCCCTCAGTTGTGATTTTAGTAATAAACAGAAATCAAATAACACTATAAAGATTTCAACAGTATTTCAATGTAAAGTTTTATCATTCCAGGTATGGTACAAGGTGACTCGTGATATTCAATCCGGACAGGAGCTGCTCCTGGGCCCAAGGACTCCGCTGCCGCTACAGGACGTCCACACTACACCTGGTAAGTTTCATTTGAAACTCAGAATATCCTAGAATACCTAATAAGTAAGGTGGTTTTTAATACAAACCTATTTCTTCGCTGTTATATATAACTGTTTTGATCACAGCCTAGCTCGATAGTATTTTAAGTCAAGCTAAGTCGTAAAGCGACTAGATCGCTCCTTACCTACATGTTGAGTTGTCCAAGTTGTATACTCAGCTCATTTCTTTTTTAAGTTCTAAATGTTACAACGGTTTTTTTTATATATTCTTTATATTTAATTTTCGGGCGTTTCTTCAAGAGGACTTGCCAACTCTCATCTTATTTAAGATCTTGACTCTTGTCGGTGAAGCCTTCTCCACTCCTCACGGTTCATAGCCAGTTCTTTGACCTCTTTATAGGTGTTCACTTTGATACCCTTTTTTATTTGTTCTCTATACGCCATTCTCGATCTTCCTCTTTTTCTTTTCCCTTCTATCCTCCCTTCAATTATCACTTTCATAAATTCGTCATTACGTAACAAATGTCCAAATATTTTCCCCCTTCTCTTCTCTATTGCATTTAAAAGACTTCTCTCTTCTCCAACCATTTCCGAAACTTCCTCATTTGATGTCTTTTCAATCCATTTTATTTTTTCCATTCGCCTCCAGCACCACATTTCAAATGACTCCAATCTCTCTCTGTCTTTTAATGTTATTTATTGTCCATGTATCGCATCCATACAGTGCGGTGCTCCAGACATAGGTTTTAATGAATCTTTTTTTCAATTGTATAGGTATTTTAGAGGTGAAAATGTGGTTTTTATTATGGAAAGCCTGTTTTGCTATTGCGATTCTGGTCTTTATGTCAGTGGTACATTTGGAATTTTCTGTGATAATACTTCCAAGATATTTGAAATGTGTTACCTGCTCTACTGGAATGTCATTTATTTTGATGGGTGTAACTTGCCAACTCTATCATTTATTTATTTTGTAGTTTGTTTATTTATATGGTTTACCAACAGCTATTACATTTTGAGTTATTTATTAGGTCCAGTGTTTTGAAATTATCAATAGTCGTCCCTGAGCTTTGTTCTTGGTACATTCCGCTAACAAGTGTTTAGCGTCTTCAATCTTACTGCAACTTTTTGAATCAGTTTTTTTTTTGATACAGAAGTGTTTAAAACGTTTATGATATGTCGAATTAGAAAGAAAGAAAGTACATTTATTTGTTTAGCACAAATGACACTCCAAAGATAAAAAACGAAACAAGACAAGAAAAATAAAACAATCAAAACATTGAAACGTCAAATATAAATATATAATCACAAAACATAAAACTTGAAAAAATAAAATTATAACAAACTATTCAAGTGCAGTAAATTTAAAATTGGCCAGGAAATTAATCAGCATAATCAGAATTTAAAAATAATATATTGTGTTTTTCTCGACACGAATATGTTAAATACTTTTAGTAATTTTTATGATTGTTGTGAGTATGGTGTCTGTATGGTAATTACAGTGCACAATTGAAAAGCTTATACTGTGTTTATAACTACCCTTTTCCAATGTAGCCACCACCAAAACGGTACATAAGAATCACAGTCACGCGCTCGTCACGGTTGGCCGATCTTGCAGTTAATTGGAGTCACCTGCCCTATAGTCTGTACAAGGCAAACGGACAATGTGACTTTGCATTAGTTAAATTTAACATACAGGCAGTTCTGATTTCACAGTTTTTACATATTTAATTTTGGAGTTAGTAGGTTAGGCTTAGTAATTTGTTTTGAGGCAAAATATTTTTATATCAATAATTATGACCTTTTTATAAAAAAAGCTACCCTAAAAGTTTGTGGAATTACGTCTATTTGCCAAGTTTTATTGAAATCGGTTAACGGAAATCCAATAAATCGGATTCGTCTCCTAATTTGCCACCCTTAGAGGTGGAATATTTTCTTCAAAGACAACTGACTATTGAAGAACCCGTTTCCAACAAAAAAAAATATCTTCGTAATCGGTTCACAATTGCCGGAGTCAAAGCGTTAATATACACAAAAAACAGTCGGATTGAGAACTGTCTCCTTTTTGAAGTCGGTTAACAAATAGAAGAATTTGCTTATTAAAACTTAAATTACTTTTTATGTAGTTTTAATAATAGTACACATTTAATACTTACGATTTTAAACATTATCATAAGGACGCTTCGTTCGTAATGCACATATTTTGTAAAAAAAATGTTGACAAACACGTTTTTAAATAGACTAGGATAGCTTTTTACATTTTGCTTCTTTTGTTATTTATGCATTTGCTTTTTTAAACCTCCGAAAAGAAAGTGAGAGGTAAAAAAACAGTGGCCTATCATGATTGATTGTTAATGTTTTGTTATATACTTTGTTCCAATGATTGAAACGTAGTACTAAGACGTATACCGAATTAAGCATTATAAAAGTACGATTCATAATTTTAAATTAAAATCTGAACTCTTTGTCGCCCATTTACGCTGTAGATCACAAATAAAACACAGGGTGCACTGGCGCAGGGGCACGCGCGATGTTTAATTTAGATAAATCGCGACGCGCGCGCGCCGCCACCCGCGACGGCCCATGTGAAAAATCACGCATATGTCGTATTAACGGGAGGGTTACCGTGTGATGTTTTAAAAAACCGTACTGGATAGGTTAAAAAGATATGTAGGAAGTAAGCAGGTTACGATTCGAGGTTTAAACTAGAATGAGAATCTCTTTGATGTGCTTTAAGCGTTATACAGTTGTGATGATTGAGAACAAGAAATAATGGAATTTTAAATACTAAATACTATTAATCTTTTGATTGAAGAGTTCATGTACCAAAAATCTTTTCTTAACACACTAAATATGTATTTCACTCAAATTCTTGTCATCTACTTTATAGTTCGATTTTGTCTGAAAAATTTATTTCATACATACTTGAAGACTTTATGGTGTATAAAATTGGGTTTGTAAGGCACTTCTAGGCGATGAACATAAGAATACATAAGGGTCTTCAGAGTTTCCTGCGCTACCAATCGGTGGGCGACGCAGCCGGCCGCCGCGTGGTGATTTATGCGATTTGAATTACGCGTAATTACTGTGTTTTTAATAAAATTATAGCCGCTACTGTCATTTGTTACCTTCGAAATATGTAGATTCTACATTATATAATTACAATACACAATATAAGTACATCTGTAAATAATAATTACGACGTCCATATTCCAAGCTACTCGTAAGCTTATTAAAGTTGTCTTATATGACAATTGGTCACTTACAACGTTACGGAACCTAATTTATTATTTTGATTTAAATACTTAATTAATTTTCTTTTAATAATGTCAAATGACGGGACGAACAAGTCGTGCACCGGATGGTGAGCTACATGCCTGTCCATAAAATTTGCAGTGCCACTCAGAGCTTTAAATCGCAAAGATATGAGGGGTACTGCCACTACGCTCGTCACCCTGACATATAAGTTGATAAGTCCCATGTGCCTGTAATTTCACCAGCATCCTTACCCTTCAAAACCGGAACGCAGTAATGCTGACATTGCTGCTTGGCGGCAGAAATAGGTATGGAGGAAGTACTTCCCTGGACAAACCCGTACGTAACGACCGCTACTGCTACTAAAAATATACTCATATGTGAGGTACAGAGTCAAGACCACACAGCTTGACACTCAAGATTTAAATACAACTCTATACCGCTAGCTATAAATTTAGTCAAAAATCCAAAGTGTTGAGCTTTAACGTCATACACAAATGTAAAAGTACTGTAGAAGACATTACATCGGTGCCTTTATATAATGCAATATTTTAGAATACTAGCGATTTTGAACTAAGCACATAGCGACGAGCAGAGCAAGCGAAACTTTATCGTGAATAAAGCACCCATCTTCTTTTGACGTAAGAAAATAGGGGGCTTAGTATTCCTATTCTCAGTTGAAAATCGCAACATTCTGCAATACTGCGTTATATAAAGGCAGCAATATGTTATCGACATACATAGCTGCATTATGCATTGCATAACCCTTCACAAACTGTGTTAGAAGATCCCAAAATCAACAGTCCGTTTTCTGACACGTCGAAAGACCATCGATCAAATCTTGCGCAATACGGTGAAAGTCATGACAAATGTGAATGGGATCGATTCTAATTAAGGATATTTAAGAGTCATTGTCGACGTGATACAGCTGTTTCGTATGTGGGTGGAATTGGTTTGTGTAAATATGAGAAATTTTAGGTGTAGGACTCTCAGAGAGTCATCATATACCGACCTCGTCTATGTATCATATCTCTGGTGAAACAGTGGCTTAACTTACATTTGCAAAAATTTACAGATGAGTTAATTTAAAAAAATCAAAGATGGAACACAAAGAAAAATTCCTTTGGTCTGATAGGTCTGGAAAAAATCCGTTAAAACAAAAAACAAAGATCTGTAAAAAGGCACAGAAAAATTCGTAAAGTCTGCTGACTCGATCTACTGCTTAGTTGGTAGAGCGGTCGCCCTGGTATACCACAGACGCAGGTTCGAGTCCTGTCAGATTAAAGGAATTGTTCTTTATGTTCGATCTTTGTATTAATAATTATAACAAACTAGAAGAGTTATTTCATGAAGTAAATGAATATCATGGTAGTAAAACCTCATAATATTCATTATAATCAATATTAGATTTGGTTTTATTTTTAGTGCTACTGAGCACATTTGAAGAGTTCACAAACGTTATGCTATTTAAATAAATATTGCACCCTTTATGAAAAAATGCGGCAATTGCCTACATTTATTTCTCTCGTGAGTTTGGGTGTAATTTGTGTTTGTCTATGTATGTGTCCATGGCACCCGCGACACAGGGTTTCCCTAGTGCGGGGCTATGTTGAGTGTGTGCGTTATTATTATTATTATTATTATTATTAATGCATAATGTGTTCCTATTTTTTTATTTGATAAATATAATAAATTTGCATTTTTAAAATGATTTGACATTATTAAGACGTTTTCAAATTTATTTTCAGTTAAGTCTGTATTTCACTAA